AGTGGGTTGCTTTGACTGCTTATTCGTTTTCGAGCCATCGCTCTAGTGGACTGCGTTTCCGCATAATCTCTCATGCAAATTTATGAATAGCTCCTGCATCAACTGTTAGCACCTGCCGAAATTACAAGAAAGACAACAACAAAAGCACAACTAGTTTAGCTTAGCTAGTCTCAAAGGGTAAGAGTCGTTCTAACGCGTTTTAATCCTTTGAAGTAGACATTAATCCACCAATTTTGATGTGTCCGGGCTCGTTGTCTTGCCGGCTCCCGATCGAAACCAGCAAGGCAACGAGCCCATGGCGTAGCTATTATGGTGTTGGACTTCTGTTCAGCAAGGTCACAGATTCAAAACTCAGGGTCGCTTTCCCTAGGGTTAGGTATGGCTGGCTGATGACGACTAATAAGCCAGAAGTGGCCATTCCAGTTTCTCTTGTCTTTGTTGGCAATGCTTTTTTGCATAAATATAGATTTAGGATGATAATTTGGCTATTTGCTTACTATACGCAATTTCTATTCTTCTACCAATGCAAAGTGTTTGAGCATATGAGCAATTCCTGTATTAAAGCATCACAGCCCTGAAGCCAAAGGCCAAGAAACCTAGTCCTGTTATAATGGACCACATTCTGACCAATGTCGCCTTCCCTCTTATCTGCGTCTTCCTCGGATGGCCGTTTGTTTCTGGAGTACCTGTACGAACCACTGCAAACACAATGGCCCTCGTCAAGCTGGAACCGCACCCTCCACCAGGAAAGCCAGCACAGTAAGTTCATTCCGACTGATTGTCCATTGTTTACCTGCGAATAAGTTCTTCTGAAGAAAGCGGCAAATTATGAAATATTTTTGCTTGTGGTTTACAGCTGTCAGAAATTGCAGACAATATAAACTGGACTACTCTAAAATTGTTTAAGACATTACTAGGCATCTCTTTATCGATCACATTTTCACCCTTTCCTCCACATACAACAGGTGATTGCCCAAAGAGGTCAGACAGAGTTTGGCGTGGTTTCTGGCCCCACCTAACGCATAACCAGACGAAGCATATCCTAGCCCAAATGCTTTTATTGATAGCTTGACCGTCAATTTTGACGAGGTCCACCGAAGATTCCAAGACAGAGTGTTGCGAGGACGATGACTTGCGCGTGAATTAGGTTTAAAAGGTAGTAGACTTGCAAAACATCTACCGCACTCTGTATCCCCTCAACGTCATGCGTCCGATGACAAGACAGAGTCAGGAAGACCGGAGGTGGGATAGGCGCCAGTAGCTAGTCCCACCGAAGCCGCCCCTATGCGTGCCACCCTTGATCTGTGGTATTTGTTGTCGGCGCGCAACTTGAATAACGCCTGCCGTGCCCTCATTTGCCCCCCGTGTTGGTCCAGCGCATCTATCAGGGGGGAGCATTCCCCACC